GCTAATAATTAACTAGACATAATATCAAAGCGAATTATTTCCATAAATTATTTCAAAACGTATACATGTTGTCCGTGTTGTACCTATAGGTCCTATGTATAAGAGAAATAAAGCAGTTAATCCAAACGGATATTGGCTAAGTGCCATAGGTACTAAATAGATTTGGACCAAYTTAGAAAATAAATATATATATTTTTGTTTCGATCGTTTTATCTCATTGTAAAATACATTCGTTTGATTTTATTGGTTTTAGAAGAGGATAATATAGAAAAAATCGCCACCATCGGAACATTTTGGCAGTCGTACGTTTTTAATTTCCATCCCTCAAATAAGCATGGTTAACCTCATTCAAAGGGTTAATTGAAAAAAAAAGGTGACTTACAAGTGCTTACAAATCGCGCACAGCATTTTGGCACTGCCGAGTATCGACATCATTATAGGGAAACAACAAAACGGCCATCGAAAAAGCCTTTTAATAAGTTTTTATGTATAAAAGTGAACTAAGAATTTTTCAGTTTACGTCCATATACAAACACTTACGAATGACTTTTTTTAACTTTGTATGAAAACTTGAGTAAAAAACGAAGGTCTGTAGCTACCGAAAACGTGACGTTATCATCCGACAGAAATGGTGATTTTGGAACAACTTTTATGACTCTACGCGTCTAGGACGTTTTTTCGTGTTGTATACATGTCGAATGTCACCGATTTTTGCAGTCAAAATCTCGATGGACAGTTTTTGTGTTTCGTTGGCAACATTTTATACGCACCGGAAAGTCAATGTTTTCCAACCGAAACAGACGAAGCAATCTCATCGAATATAAAAACAAACCTAAAGGCTAAAACCTGACTATAATCGAAGTATTCGACGGTATAGTCGGGACCGGTCAACGACGCATTTTTGTATATACGTCGATATAGTCTGTGATTTTATGTAATAAAATAAATTGAACGATTCCATATCGGGTCAGCGCAATACTTTACGACCCGCAGAGGCCAGACGTAATGGCATTTTTTTTTCATTTCGCTAAAGGTTCCGTTTTACCAAGAACATCAGACTTTTTATTTTCACATATAATAAAACATTATAACCACATTCGAAGAAAAATAACTATATCGTGTCATGATCATTTTCAAAAGTCTTATACCACCCCCTCCCTACAAGACTAAATTATAATAATATTATTAATTTTTTAATTGTATTTAAAATACATTCCTCGTTTTTCTCGCCATTTAAAAATTGATTTTTTTTATTCATAATATAAAACATATTAATTCCTAATATACAACATTCAAAATTCAATCAACTCTACGACATTTTAATATCATTTAGTACAAAAAAATAAACGATGTCYTTTTATGTTAACCAAAGCTCCGTTAATTAAAATTATAGTGGACGTGCTGTAATTAACTAAAATATAGTTATATYGTATTCCCCTATAATTTTATATTTTGTATTTTATATAACTGCTACCGTATACCAAACGAAATACAATGCAATAATACTGCCTTCCTATCACTATCATACCTGTCATTATTATTATTATCGCCATTATATTGGCACTTAAAATTACATTAATATTATTATGATAAGACTGTATAAATAGTATAATAATATTTTGATGAATATTTAAATTTACAATTTTGTCATCACGTATATGATAATATTTTAATATATCAATATATATATTAGATAAAGTTATCTGGTATATATATATATATATATTGGTCCGTGGCGAGGTGCCTCTAAATGAAAAATCCGTTCGTAAGAGGCTTTAACTCTTCGTACCTTGGTAACTGATTTGCGCTTTTCGAACTGGGCATGGAGACGGCGGCGACGGAACATTTATCGGTCGGACCTTCACTATACGGTGGTGGAGGACTGTCACCGGCTTCCGGCACTGTCGAGTCTTTTAACGAACAACTATATATCATAGGTATACGATAAATCAGCAGGCGACATGCAACAAACGACAAATAAAATAAACAAATAATAATGTGACAAAAATATACAATACTAAGTACGATTTAATATAAGTTTGCAAGAGTAGGGTGTTGATAAACTGTTACATAATATTAATATAATAAGAGGTAAGATATGAAGTGAGGAAAACGGCGCGCTGAAAGGTTTTTGATCGAGTTGTATAATACAATTATTATAATTATTATTGGATCGAGTATCAAAAAACTAATGCTGGGAAAAAGGGTAACCGGAAAAAAAATGCAATGACAATTGATTATATGTATTATTAATAYTGAAATGCTGATTCGCTGAATGATAATAATTTTACAAATATTTCGACTTTAAGTTAGCTAAAAATATAATACCTAACTCAGTGAAAAGTGATAAATGATAATAATGGACAAATTTAAGACTTATTCACTATAAAAAATCAATATTTTTATCAGCTGTATTTGTATTAAAAAATAATAAATTTGATTAAGCAAGATATGATATTATAATTAACTACTTCAAACATAATTATTAACCGATAAGTATCTATATTTAATTCAAAGTTTTTGTAAAATTATAATGATAATTTATTTTGGTTCTCTTTTTAACGTATTGATATCGCAATACAATAAATTAATAATTTATAGTAATGTTTCAGTGTTTTTTTTTTTCCGGAAACTTGTACAAAATATTTTGATTAAAAAAACAAAATTCATAAACAATATAAATAGCAACAGAGTTGTACCAAAATTATTTTCCCAAGTGGCATATAATATTATGATATTATATGCACAATGGTTGTGATAATTTTAAGGGACTCCAATTAATTTTCACATTTTACATGATTAACATATTTTGATGTTTTCACTAATGGTGTTTTCACCCGATAGTCAATTCATGAACGTAGTGGAATACATTGTCTATTATGATTTTAACAGGAATTAAGATTTAAAAAATTGAATCAATATTTGGTACTCGTGAACAAATAATCATATTTAAAAAATTGCATTGTACACTATATATTATAAAAGAAAATTATTTGAAACCGATAAAGGCATTTATACCGGTACACCACATTAGCCGGTGACGATCTAGTCCTGCAGTATGGATGCTTATAATTATTTTTTAGGGGAAAAGTTTCATTTTTACCGCCATTTTCTTAACATGATGTGTACATAATATCGTGTCCTTAAAAAACGTGMTCGACACCCCTAGCGGACGACGAAATGATGAGTGTGCGTCGCCAATGAATGTCGTCGTGTACGGTATTACCACATAATATTATCGCGGTAAACGATCGTCGTGCACAATCAAAGGGCGAGACAAGTGTGCTAATGGTGTGCATATTATAATAATATATAAATAGRGGTTTGTKGGGGAAGAAAACGAAAAAACAAAATCTACGGTGGATTTGTTCACTCTAACGGTGCATAACACATTATATGCGATGTTACATATGTGAATAGTTTTATACAGACCTTTTGGCTCTCCGAGATGAATAGGTTTTCCGTTTGGACGACAGAGGAGGTGAAGAGTTACTGGTCTTCTGCAGGGACGTCTTCACCGCCGTGTAGGGTATTTCTCGTAATTGTTCCTCGGTCATGCCATCAGTTTCGACAAGTTCGAACTCCAAATGCTTTTTGAGCTCCTCCGGCAGACGCGTCTTACTGTTGCTCTCCGACGGTGACCTGGACCGGGACCTTCGCAAAATCGTCATTCAATCATCTCGTATATATTGACAARATATTTAAAATAAAAACCCGCTACCCTTCCCAGAATATTTGTTCTGAGTACGGCCTTAATTTATATGGTACAAGAGTGGCAAACTTACGGCTCGCGTCTTATTAAAAAAAACCATTATTATTATCGATAAAATTATAAAAAAATATAAATTGTATCTTTTAATAATTCGGCTCTTGATATCATTATATTTATACTCATGAACGTATTCATGTTGGCCACCCCTAGTTTAAGTCTGATTAACTATATAGAATTACGTGTAATTTATAAAATATAAGAGGAGAAGTAAAAAGGAATCTTATTTTATCCCGGACTTTTTTCCATTAGTACAGGATTTAAGTATTGATCGCGTGTAATTTATAAAATATAATTTTACTAAACATTTCGAACTTGTTACTTTTTGATAGGGTTTATTATTACAACAGTTAATCTGATTCATATGTTTACAACGAGAAATTTACCTAGAAATTTTTTTGATGATATTTTTATTCAAATGCTGCAGCCGGATCAAACGCTATACACTTTTTACGTGAAACTATACCAGTTTTGTATAACATCCCTTCCGACTTGTCGGACCGGTCGACCGCGCAGCTATATAATCATTATACCCTAGTACACGCGACTTCCGACGTCGTGGCAAGCGATCGAACGTTGAAGAGAGGTGAAGTCACCGACCCGGAAACCGGAAGTTCAAGTAGAGTATATCATTATACCTACAATATATTTGGGAACCGACCACCAGCCATTACATCGATGGAAAACACGGTAGGAAYCTATGTATAAGGATACGCGGCAAACACTTCCTCGTTTTCATGATATTATGGTCTTGGCGGTGAATACAATGCAATAAAAACKGTTTGATGTATGTGGTCAAAAACTGCAAAATTTTCCACGACTGAGTATTTTTTTCAAATAAAAAATATTTGTCTTTTTCTTATTTTAACAATATTATTTATCATAGATTTCCAGACAATCTAGATATACCTATTATAGTGGTTTACAAACTTCTAATCAAATAGATTCTAATTGGACCTTTGATCAAAGTAGATAAAAATGTATTTAGATCGTTATTATTATCAATATCGATTTTCGAAAAATCCGAACMAAACATAATTACTAGCTATACTTACTGCAGAAAAAATWATTACATGAATATTATGGTAATATATTGTAATATAAACGTTTGAAAATTGAATGCATATGAAATATGAAATAAAAATATACGAAATATTAATTAAACTATGTTTTAATATTTTTCATAGCTATTTTTATGTTTACCACAATCAGTGTTGTCACAAAAACATCATCAACTGTTATCTTAACCTGCCACCCTTATTTTCCAAAAAATAAAAACATTGTATTAAGTACTAATCAAAAATTTGCAAAAATTAAACTTTGAAACGATAATATTTCCCTACTCTATTGTATTAACTCATCTATATGGAATAACGAAAATGGAATATAATTTTATCATCATCATTATCGTGATTAGTGTTATTACCTGTGTTTCCTGTGTTTTCGTCTCCGGTACGACGAAGAATGATGAGAAATTTCGCTCTCGGACTCCAATCCACTGTTCGCGTAGCCCGACCGAGGCCGAACTACCGACGCCTTTTGTATGGCCGACCTGCCCTCGGCCTGCCTTCGCTGCACTTCCCGCCACTGTCCCTCCGACTCTACCAGCTGATACCTGTGCCGCCTGTGCTCGTGGTCGTCACCCGTCGACGACTTCCGGCTCCGGTGCCTGTGCTTCCGGTGCGACTTGCCCGACTTGCCCGACCGGCCTGACTGTTCACTCTCGTTATCCGACGACCGTCTATTGTTGCGGTGTCTATGCCTGCTCAACACCCATCGAACKTCCAATTATTATTGTTATTATTAAAAATTAGAATCATCATCGTGACGACCTTCCGATGTCGACATTTCGTTGGAAAACCGCCTTGAAACTCGATGAACTACGGACGTGTCGTCGGTGAAGTTAATATTATATACATCAATATTATAAATATATAGCTATATATTATGCATGTCACATCGACAAAAATTCCTCCAGTTGCACTCTTAAAATTCAAAAGTTACGTCTTTCCTACCAAATTATAGGTAAAAGTAAAACATCTATTCGAGCGTCTTGCCGGAGTCATTGGTCTCGAAGCATAACATTGAATTTTTGTGCACCCGGAACCGTACGTACAAATAAATAGCGATATTTTTAAAATAAAAATTTCTTTAGAAACCTTTTAGTTATAATATATTATCCGTGTAATCTGTTTAAATTACTATTATTACCATCACATACATTGGAGGCATGAGAAATGCTATTAGATTATTAGTTCTCAGCCGGAAATTTGATAAAAAATCAAATTCACACGGCGTATGATGTGTAAATCTCTTTGTCGAAACATTTGAATCCATAAATATTTGATTACCAACTATACTGTAATAATATTTTTGTCATTCATGTACAAATTATTATCGAAATAAGGTCAACCATCTAAATTGCTTACGTAATTCATACGAGTAAATAAATTACTTATTGTTCACAATATTGTTATGCATAGGATACCAACAGTATTTTAATGCAGATTTTGTTTGTACGATATTTAAACATAATATATAAATTACAAAGCAAATGATTTCTATTCACTCAGTATAATATAATATATTATGAAATGGCATTCGAACAATTATTAAATTTTGCAATGAATTTATTTACGAACGGCCCGTTTCCATAGATTTAATGTGCGCGTTTCCCATTAAAATAATACGTTTGTGCATTTTTGTGTTCGCTGTCTTAAGCGTGAATATAATCTCCTTAGAAATCCTTAGAAATCATTTTATAAAAGGTACTGTTTGTTTGAGTAAATCATTAGAGTAATGATATGCYTAAAAATTAAAATAACGTAACGTATTATCAAACCGGGCGCTATTATGGGTCGAAGACGATTTACGAAATACGCCCCTTCATTAATTTATCAAATATAATATAATTTGTTGTATAATATTGCCTTAGTGAACGTTCGTGTTATTATTCTTAAGAAAGATTATCGAACTTAGGTTAGATTTAATCAATTTCGCAAATAATATGTGCAATCTTGATAAGCATGTAGGTATATATATATATATTATTTATTATATGATTTGGTACTTGATTTTTTTTTTTTAGTATAAATAAATCAAAATATTAAACTACGAGGAATAATGAAAATGTTACCGAGGTTTTAACGTAGTTAACACATCGTTAAGTTGCTCAACATCCAAAACCTTAGAAAATAATTTAGCGTGTTCATCCAACATTTGTCATGAAATGAGTGTAAATTATATATCATAAATTTCTATCATTTTTATAAATATCATTTTTTTATGACTGRTCACAATACAAAGACATTGAAATATGGTTGATATTTTAGAAGACGGCACGCAGCACATGCAGCGCGTTATATATATTAAAACGATTAATCTTTATATCATATTATTTAATGCATGTTTTGTTTAAATAAAGAAATATATTTATGTTCTCACAACGATCTCGATTATTATCGATTATTTTAAAAAAAAATTTCAACGARAATTAAAAATAACGCATTATTWTAATAACAGTATGAGTTAATTGTTATAATATAGGTATGTGATTAGAATGAATCGAATTTCTAAAATTGTAGATTGGATTTASAAATATTTCAGTCTAGAACCAATACCAAATGGTTCAAGATCGAATTAAAAATCGCGTAGGCATGAATTACTGCGTAGTACGAACTATATACACTATTTTACCATCGATGCGCGTAAACAACAATGGTTTTTCGTTTGGCACCTTCTAGTGAAAATGCGAAACAACACTATAACACGTATAGGAGAACAGTCTCAGTATTAAACTTCTCTTATCGAATACCTCCATACAACACCAGCTGTGCGTTCAACAAAAACCGATGTGTCGATATTTATAAGAACGTACCCGAAATACATAAACAATGCGTCACACGGACCTAGCTGGGTAGTGGTAATTGTTAATTATTGTGATAGTGATGGTAAGTGGGGGTGAAGTGAGGGTTGTTTATATTGGCAGATAAATGTATACGCTGTCTGCAGAGTGTGGTGAGTATTTTATACAGTTCGGTCACTTATATATATTTATAAGATATAAGATTATAATATTACCTATAATGATCAAGACCGGTGCATAAGTTTCACGCTCAGGTGAGGTCAGCTGCATAGGCAAAGATACGAGTGCGGAACTAGAAACAATGGGGAGGGTTGTCGAGACCTTTTGTAAATTTATAGGTACGACCGGACGAGCTGGTAAACAATAAATGGAATAGGTACTGCAACTTGCAATAACTACTGCCGCAATCAGCGTCAACGACTGCGGCAGTGTACGACTAAAATTGAGCGAAATAGGGTTGAGATGGCGTAAATGCTATAGCGACGATCAGATCAACGATATAATTTTAAAAAAATATCAAAAAATCAAAATATTATCGGTGTCTTGCTAAAAAAATATCGAAATTTTAGTGATTGCTATCGAAGAATACCAATATTAGAAATAAGAGAATAATTTTATCCATCATTCTCTGAACTATTTAGATGGCCTAAATAAATTAAATTCAGAATATATTCTTTGATATAAAAATAATATTAATTGTAWCTATATCGTTACACCTACACAAAAGTCGATAATTTTTGTTGAGACTTTTCCGACTATATTTGGATATGATTGATGGTATTTTGAGAACAAATTTCAAGAAAGGTCAGATGTTATACAGTGAATAGAATCAAAAACCAAATTTGTGTTTGCAGTCGAACTAGGAACTTTAAAGATTGGAGCGTAGTGAGCGTACTAACTATAAATATCAGAGAACGTATGATGTATCGTGTTAAAGAGGGTGTCATCGTACTATTCATTTTCTCTCTACATTACTCTAGACACACTAAATGTACATAACGCATTCATGGAAAATCATTTGACGTATCGATATGTCTGAATATTATGTCTAAACAATGTATTTTTTAAGTCAAATAATAATAATAATATTAMAATATAAAACCACTATGTCGATTTCTCAATAATAATATTTTCTATTATTTCTGTAATAGGTGATTTTACTTTAACATCACTCAAAAACCATTAAAAAAAAAAAAAAATGAAAAATATAGTAGCTTACATAAATGTGTTTTGTCTATATGTCTATGAAGAAAACTGAGAAAACGGAATTTTAAATTAAACTAGTTGTGTATATATAGCAAATTAGCAACCATAAAAGTTACACTTTCACAAGACATCTATACTTATATACCTACAACACGTTATAAGTTATAGAACGGAAAACCCATGTTATTAGGTTATATATTATATGTAGGTGGGTTGGTTTTAGTTGAGTTGGGTTAACATGTAAACGGGACAATCGTAGGTATTAAATTGTATTTAGTGGTATATAGCACACTACGTACTTGCGACACGATCTAGAGTCGTTGGAGCTCTGACTATCTACACTGGATGACCGGCGSGCATGGCGCATGATCTGATGCGGACCCGATCGGACACTTCTTGGCGAGCTACTCGAGTACAGGCCCCTAGTCGGTGCGCTTGACCAAACGCCCCACGGTGCGCTTCTGGTGCTCCTCGGTGAATCGCTCCGGTTCGGCACGTACATACTGCGTCGATTAAACAGACAGAATTAGACACGTTTTAACAACGAATCGCGCGTGAGCACTCTAGAGCGATCGTATAACATTGCAATTATTATTAATAAAATCGTTTTAAATTCACGTACGTGTGGACGGGCAGTTGAGGGTTGGAGCAGTTTTTTAGTTTGTCTTGCGGTTTCAACGACGACGATGACGACAGCAGCATCAGTTCTTCTCTGGTCTTGTACTCGTCTCCAAAATTTTGATCTGTGTGGAAATAAGATAATACTTTGAGTCAAAAATACGCCACGATAGTTATGTATAGATCAGGACGTCCAAAGATAATTCAATAGGTATACACGGATAGGTCATCATTTACGTCTATATCCCTACCTCTTATACCTATACACGGTGGTAAATAGTATTAATAATATACGGTTTGGAAAAAAATAAAATTAATCAATCCGATGTCTACCAATTTTCGAATTCGATAAATTGCAGAAATCATTATTTAGTATTATTCACATGATAAACTTACTAATAACTATATGATTTGAAATATTTGTATAAGTTATTATTATAATATTATTTATTACCACCACCTGTTGGAGCCGAGCAAATTGAAATTATTATTACGATAGCCGGTAGACCGGCACAATAAAGGTGAGCGATAAGACGTCGCTCGGGCGACTGCATCGCCGTCGTGTCATATACAGTAGTAGCGTTATAGCTATCATACAAGCCACACCGTCTCGACGCGTTACCTTGCGATCAGTATATTTTTTGTATTCAATAAAATTACAGCAATATACCAAAGTACGGAATTTTTGATTAAATATCCCCTTTGGCCCCAACACCACCAATGGTTAGCTGGGCCTAATTAACCTATGGACAAATTAAGCTTAAGACTTGGAAAAATATTATCATATTATATTATACAAAGTTTAATTTTTTCGATTATATGTCGAAAATTATGGATATTACCTACTTATTTTGAAAGTTAGCAAATAGGCCTGTTGTTTTTTGAAACTATTAGGACCATTACGCTGAAAACTCATGCCTGGATACCACAACCATAACATTGCATGTAACCAATTTGGTAACTATTATGCTCTTTGTTCACACTTGAATACAATTCTGTCCTGTTGTGTATGAAAATTGTATTATTATCAGCTATGAGTCCACCGCGTAAAACAATTAACGACCTCCGCTCCAAACGTTGTGGTATACTGGTACCCAAATAAGTACTTATAATTACATCATATTGCGTAAGAATTATAGCATTTTTACGCGACGCAATGGGTTGCTCATTATAGTCTATTTAGTGAGAATTCAATATCAATATGTATAAGAGATTCGTAGCAAAACGATCGGTTTTTGATTTTGTTTTCATTTCCTCGACGATACATATACCTAATTCACCAYACGGTCACGTAAAGGTATTGAATAAATATTACAGAGTGATTCACCGGGCGTATTCACCTTCGTTTTTTTTTTTATTATCTAATTCAGATTTTTGGAATTTTAAAGTAGATTTGAAGACCAAATTTTCCGATAAACAAGTACCTATTTGCATCCTTTTAGGAATGTCTGTGGTGATGAAAACTCCTTTAAAAAAAAAAATAAAACCATCTTTTACCATAAATCGTTAAGTAGATCATTTTTAAAAACTATTGATATGAATAAATAAAAATTGATACTTTTGAAGATTATAGTCCATGATAATAGGTTTTAAAATAATCGGTCTATGATTATTAACATTTTATCGAAAAATATTATTAGGTAAAAATTGTTTTTATTATTTAAAAGGTTTTCAGGCTGCAATTGTGAAGTTATTATTCATTTTTTTTTTTTTTTTTTTAAAATAAAAATACAGATTTGATAATATTTAAAATAATATTAATTTAAAGATAATAGTTAAAAACGTATTTGCAATAAAGACTGACTATAGGTTAAGGTTTCTTGATCAGGTAGCATTTAGTGATGAATTTAATGAATTTGGTGATTTTAAAATTTTGTTCTACGTGTATTGTGCAGGAGGTAGAGAGAGACAGGCATATACAGGCATTATTAGGTAAGTTATTATTGTCTAAGAGAATTAGTATTATAACTTATAAGTGGATATACTTGACTAAATATTATTATATCTGTTATACATTTTATGTAACACCATTATAACCTCATTATTATTATATCTTAATAATTCTTAAAATACTTTTTAAATTGCAATTTTGATACATACACGTTTTCAAAAAATCGTTTATACTACTTCAAAATATAAAAAAGACGGTTCTCATTTGAAAAAAAAAACAATTAACTTGTATCTTCTTAAGTGGTATAAAAATCTAAGTATCTAGAAACATGATTTTTAAGTAGGTACCACATAATAAACATACACATTGAAAACATCAGAATTTGAATCCCTGCACCGTTATTAAAAAAAAAAAAAAAAACGAAAGGGAATGAGCGGGTTAGGTGAATTACTCCGTAGTATAGTGATGACGAGATTTATAAACGAGTGCACGCAAACTCGGGACGAACGCACAATATATAAGTGCAGTACTTCCAGGACGATGCGTATAATTATTTCTCTAGACGACTAACGACGACKAACGTATAATATATCGCAGTTATTTTTTATACGGCTCGCGTGTCGTCTCTGCGGGCTCTTAAATTAGACATCGTCCCGTCGGCCAGACATACACACGCGTGAATCCAAAATAATTGGCCTCGTCTGACGTATATACCAATTTACCGAGATTTTTATTCGAATTTTATCTTTAACGCGACGAGAAGTCGTAAACATATTATTATAATTATATACACAACGTTCAGTCCCGCGAGTATATTTCGATATGATATTTTGATTTTAAGAACCTAATTAAGCTTATCTTGAAATTACACGTTTTGTCAACTTGAGGTGGTTAGATCTTAAGGCGTGGAATGGACGAACGACATTAAAGTATACAATAACGCAAAGGGTAAAAATGTAAATTAATACACATCACGGCATCAACCGGTCCGTCAGGTTCGAACGACGTAAACATTGAGTATGGCCAGTATGTGAGGGTAAGATACTAAGATGGATATTTTACAAATACCAAATTGTTGGTTACAAATGGTATCTAACTAATTGAGTAGGTACTGTTTATAAGTTGAAAAAAAAAATAAAAAAATATTGAGTTAAACGTATCAAATCTGAGGTGCCGGCAGAATGACGTCAGGTTCTACATGCATATAATATTAATTTCGGAGGTAATTCTTGCAGGGTGTCGAACTTCGATTTTTGGTTATAAATTGATACTTATTTTCATAATATCGATTCCTTCGCACCGTGAATCGCGATGTCTCGCGCTTCATAATTTATAAGTATATAAAATAATTTTTATACCTAAGTATAATAGAACTTAAATCAATTCGCTCTGCACACATAGTATACGTTCCCCGTTGGTTTTATTRAGTGCACATAATAATATGCATTGCAATTTAAACGTACTTGACACGTTGCAATGCTGCAGAAATATATTATTATATCGATCGATCAGAATCTCAGTAATTATTATTACGCATATTTTGTGAAGGATAATTTGCCACGATATAATATAAGAAATACATAAAACTCAGCAATCTGTCTTATATTTATATATAATGCCGATGATCTTAATAATAATAATAATTAATAATGTATAAAAATTGCTACAAACGCGTATATTGTTGTAACACAGTTTTTAGGTATCATTCAAGAAGACAATCTATAAAAAAAAAACGCACGCTGGTAGATGCGGTGACAATGTTTTCGTAATTATTTTATTAAATCGTGTACCCGAAGATAATACATTGTTATTAAATAAAACCATTGATTATAAATACTATAATACTATTATAGTATTTATAATCAATGATAAAACGTATACCAGAAAAGCTCACAAATCCGAGCGCGAGTTTTTTTTTTATAATCGRCGGCGAATATTCAGTCGAAATATTAATATCAGCTGCAGTCGAGTATACGATAATTAAATTATGTTATATTTTGTACCTATACTATAAGTCTATAAAGGCATCTTGTTGACTGCTACTGCAGCTTGTTGAAGAGACCGAACGGTGTTTTTATTATTATTATTACTTATTTTTTTTAATCCTGAAAAAAAAACCCATAAAACGTCCAAGTCCGTAATATACCTCCTAAATGTTTAATATCATTATTATTATGCACCAACGATGAACGCACGGCGTATTAAAACGAACGGTACTATACAAGCACAATGCACATTATATTATAATAACGTAGTATTCCTTTTGCACCACGTCTTCGAGTATTTTCACGGTTCTTAAGAATATAATATACGAAATTAATCGGTAGATGGGTGGGTAATCGTGAATGCACCACACGTGTATATGATGTCATAGTAAAGCGTGTGTAACGTGGTGCTGCGGGTAAAATGTATGGAAAAAAATGTTCATGCCTTGCGAGCATATTGTTATAGGTATATTATTATTATTACAATATTTTATTTTAATTATACCACTTCAGACTCGACGTCTAGAACTGTAGTGCTATGTATTGTTTAGGTTAATTAAAAAAAAAAATCCCAACGAATTCGAGATCGTAGCATCGCTTTGTAAATTAGCTGGTTGGAAAATGTCAAATAGGTCTTAATAGAGTGGTTCACCAAGCCCTCTTCACCTATTCTCAACTTTACTAGTGTATATTTTTACTAGGGATTTTTTAATAAAATATTATAGATATCATATTATTTTCAACTACTCAGATTGCTCATACCACAATAATATTATTCATAAGAATTTTATCAAAACGATTACAACCCTTTCTTACAGTAAATTAAGTAACTGATTATTTTTTGAAAATGTTGAGGTAAATCAACTGAAATCAGATGGAGCAGTTATCGAGTTTTTCAACTCGATGCACCGAAATGAATACACAAAAGTGCATTGAAGTTTGAACGGTATAAATTCCAAAATCATAATTCTAACAATATTGCATTTATCATAAAGGGAAAATTGTGGTTCGGAAAATCATCAAGTACGCTACTCAGTACTCACTATCGCTGGCTCCTTCGACGATCCTCCTCTGATAACGGCGACTAGGTGTCCTCGTAAACGACGGTGGCGTTCTGTTGCTCATCTGTGAACTCCTCACTGACGACTTATCTGCTCGACCGCTAAACAGATAAATAAAGCAAAACCTAAATTAATAACCGATATAAAAATAATGTATCGACATTTTATTGTAAAAATACGTTCTTCGTTATTCCGTTTTTAAATATTTTAGTATATTAACGCAGCCTTAGTAATATTAAAGTATAATGATATGCCTACTGTTTATTGACTGTTTAATTAAAGGAAAAAACTCGAAGGAAGTCTGATGAAAAACCCATCTCTATCGTGATATTATCTTTTTCGATTAATATTTTGAATTACAAAGGTTTTACGTTTTAAATTACTGATGTATAATAAGTTAGTAGGAAGTAAAAATAACTTTTTAATGATCCCGAGTATAAAATAAAAACGCTGACTATGGTAAATATAAATGAACAAAATGCTATTATTAAATAATATAAATTAAATTTCATACAATAGCTTCTTCGTATCGATGTAATATTATTAGGTACATAACACGATAGTATGATACTATATAAAAACATGGATTGTATGCTTAAGATCTCTTAATATAAAGAAAATAAAAATTCTTTGATGAACATTTTATTATGTTTTGTTCTCACCGGTGGTGAAATTTATTACTATATTTAATTCAAATAAGTATGATTTCATCATAAATATTATATCTGCTCATTAAAATCAATAAATTATAATAATATTTAGTTTTTTTTTAAATTTTTTGGGAAAATTATTGATCGATTAATTGAAGTTTTAAAATAGTTCGTGCTCCGATGCTCGCAAGCCTGGAGGATATATGTATATAAATAAAATTGAATTAAAAAGGTATCGATAAAAAGGAATCCCCAAAGTTAGGCTATTATAATAGAGGTGAGTTGTCGATGAAATAATGACGATTAACGATAAATGTACACAATATTTCACAACAATATATCATATATAAGTCGTTAGTACCACAGAATAGATTAAATCAGAAGGGACACTTTCAATGTAAACAAAAACGTGGCGGACGTGCGTGAAGCACAGACTTCTATTATAGAAATCTGTGGCGTGAAGTTGGCTACTTTATCAATTTAGTGTTATCAGTTAAAAAATTGGTATCATAATTCATGATTTAATTCAAAACATTTACATTAGGATTATTAAAAATTTTAGCAAAAGCATTTGTTACACGTTTTTTAGTGTGTACTGCTTTTTAACTGCAGTAAAAACAAGCAGAATATGTTCTGTTGTAATCTGTCGTCTGTACTTTTTTGAATAATACTGTGCATTAGAAGCATTATTATATAATAACATACTCTTTTTATATTTTTCCTTCTCAATCTATTTTCTTATTTTTAAATCATAATCTTAATGTACCTCTACTATTCAAGCTTGCCTTCAAACAATCGTGATCTATAAATTTCAAAACTACATTTTAGCTTCTAATAAATAAAATATAAACTTTATTTAATAAAACGTGTATTTTTTTCCAATATGTATTTAATATGAATACCTATTTAATCAAATATTTGATTTATACTAATCTTATGCAGTTGCTAATTTTAAAATTAAGAATTTTAAGCAATTAGTAAGTAATTTGAATAAAACTAGAGTTGGATCTATACATTTTTGGAAAAACATTGTATTTAACATTTTGTTCTTCTGATATGGTTACACTGTTTAGCCAACTGGAAGATGGCCGCCACGTTTTTGAGTATTGGGTATCTTTACCGTGTTAATTTTTATCAGTGTCCAGGCCTTGTTGGTAGTACCCAAAAACAATAACAAGATCTATAGGAATACCAAATAATTATTATCAAGGATCGAAAGTATTTGTGCAGTTTAATTATTCCAAATTGGCTTCAAGGTGTATATGGGTTCAATATATTAAATGGTATATTCAATATTGTACATAACTTTATTTATATTTCGAGGTTTTTGGCATATTTTATTTTATTTCACATATTATTAAGGAGTGTTTTAGTGCAATCACAAATGAGCCATAGTCATTATTAACATTTTTATAACCAATATGTCTAAAACGTTGCACAGTAGAGATGGTTAAAAAAGAGCGTTTGTAACTATTCAAAATTATCGTATCAATAGCTGTCTGAAACTTAATAATAAATATACCTACTTTGAAAGATTATAAATACGTCCGAACGTCGCGCACACACTTAATTTAGCGCGACAGTAGTATTAAGTAAATAAATAGCGTAGTAGCCATCACTAACGTATAACAGGAAACCGAGTTATACCATTGAAATAGCGTGCTATTTTTTTTTAATCAGCCAGTTCTGTTAGCAAACGGTTAAACATATAAAGTCATATAAGGTATATCAATCGATTAGAAATATTGTGCAGATGAGAAAAAAAGAAGCAGATTGGCTAGATGGTTTATAAATATTATAAACAAAAATGTTCAAGCACTTTAAAGAACAATTTTGCGTACGCAACGAAATGTCCCCCGATTCACATCGTATCCATTCTCAATACTCTCATCACAGAGGCGGTGGCGGCGAACAACGTACATTGTATATTATATTACTATTTATAGTATCATATTATTTATTATATGCAGTCAAATAAAATCGCGACTTATTTTTTAGAAAACATAGCTAAGATCACACTAAAAACACTTCGTTATAACTCTGTCTAAAAGCATGCAAAGTTGGAAATAAAAATACATTTAGTAATTATTAAATCTTTACAAGACGTGATATTATAATATGGGAACTAAGTTAAATGTCATTTTATAATATTAAGAATTCATATGACGACAAATTTGATCGATTGTAATTATTAAATACTTAGTTAAAATATTGTACCTGGCAGGACGGGTAGAAGTATTATACTTAAATAAATACAAATATGAAATAAGTAACGACTAAATTATTTTTCGTAATTTTATACATATTCATGTCTTTTAAAGATTAAATGATTCCATTTTTTTTTTTTTTTTTACTTATTGGCTCTTTTTTACACGGAGTTATAACGAACAGTTTTTGGTGTGATATTATTATACACGACTGGAACATACATGTACCATTTTCGGAATGCTATATTGAATCGCATAGGTATAAACTCGTAACATTAAATTATTGTACGTATAGCTTTCGAACGCAATATTATTAATAACTGTGACGAGTGTTGCGGGGTAGACATTATATTATGGACAACAATAAACAATACGGACGGTATTATCGAATGTTCTTCGCGCAATAATAGCAATAATAGTGTACAGTGGCAGTAATAATTAAAATACATAATAATAATAGAACAGGTAGTAATATATTATAATATAACGTATGATTATACACGGAAGGGAGAGGGTGTAGGTACATATATTATGCGCACACTATAATGTGGTGTATCCATATTATATTATGTACATCATCAAGCGTAGTGCACAAAATATTTATAAAAGCAATACGACTAGGGATTTATTTCTTTAGAAATATCATCTTCTGGCGAGAAAAATCTGAACAATTACGATGGGGCATGAAAAACGAAAAAACACCACCATTGTTCATCCAGCTCCCTGCGGCCGGCTTTATGTACACCGCGAGCCCTGGCCGACTATACCGCAGTAGTGCAATAATATATTATTACTATATTTAGTATTATACGCGTGTAAATATGCGCGGTAACAGAATTTTTTTTGTGAGACCGAAGGAAAAGAATTGCATATAGGTATATGATACCACATTATCACTATACATATTACTATGCCGTACATATTATATAAAAAACGCGTTTATGATATTATTTAGTCTTCTCTCTTGTCGTACTATAAAAACATCCATATAATAATAATATATATATGCTGCAGAACGTAGTCTTCATACTGCAGGTACATCCCGACAACTGCGACAAGATTATGTTATTATTATATATACGAGTATTGTGTACGTTGTACAGCGTATGCACATAAAATAATGATAAAATATCACGTATGTGTTTAATGTGCACCTACGGCGAGTGTAACGCAATTAATGTAATTGAATAATATAATATCATATGCCACATATCAAACCTGCTAAATCGAGTGCTTATGACGTCTGGGGGGTTGGGTGATACTTGGACTAGTCTGAAGAATGAATGATGTTCCATGCTGCACTTGTACAGATGTTTACACGCGGGCCTCGAGGGTGTTTCAAACCCGTAAGTGTTCTCATCGTTCTGAAAATATCGTCATTTTCATTATTTTTACCATTATTATTGTAGACTCAATTAAAATATTATGCTAATCTGGAAGATGACGAAACGTTTCCTCTCGGTCCGACCAGATACTACGTACGAGGTAATATAATATTATAACACTATTTTACTGTCGTGATCTTCTTTGGGACTTGGGGCCCTAAAAAGAAATTCGGGAAGCAGTTTTAATAACGACAAATCAGAAAAAGAAGCCCCCGATGTTGAGTAAGCGTGAAAGATGAAGCACCCATATATATTATATGTACATAAGCCCCCAAGAAAGGTATCACAACAAAGAGTGGATATTGATATAATATTATTGCAATATAATTATTAATTATTGTTAACTCGATTTGATTATTACTATAGTTTATAAGCTGCAAACGAGTGCTTTAAATATAAGTAGTTTAATATATTATAACATAATGTAACCCGTCTAATAATGATGGTATTGAGTCCCCATTGATAAAAATCGAACTGCTCAAGCACCATCGCAAGACGTACGATTTGGGAAATCATGCAGAGAGAGATAACGTTACAGTTGGTTGATTTTTACTAACGAGGCCCCGGAGAGTTAAGAAATTTATTGAACTAGGTACCTTTAAAATAAAACCACATATAATAATACACTACACTCAATACTGACTCTATTACAATATTCACTTATTCACTCTGTTTCTACTCTTGTTAATATTATGCTGATTTGGTAGAACCAAGGAATAGCTTCGACCAGGATTACCATAATAGGTACACGTGTAGTACCATGTTCAATTTAAAGCTAATAACATATGATGTTATAAACGAAACGTAAATTAACGTCTATATGTGGTGTGCTTACGTTTTTATCGCACACTCTGAGCATGAAATATTTCCCCTTGCTGAAGATCTTGGTGATCCTGGGCCTGAAAACACGTGTCAGTAACGATTAAGATCTTAGATCGTGTACTAAAGATGTATAACCATCAAGTTAATTCTTGATTCCATAGTGAATATATGCGATGATTGAATGAATATAGACTATATTTTGTGCGCATGTGCATATATCAGATATTATGTTAGATTGGTTATTCTGATTCAGGTTATGGCTACATCCTTAGTACACGATCAAGATTAAAACGACAGTAAAATCGTAACAAAATAATATATAATAGGTAAACTTCCGTGGCAGAACACTCACCAGTAATAATTTGCGACAATGTTTTTGTTTCGGAGCACAATCACACCGGTAGGCGTTAAACCCAAATAATATTCGACGTTGTCTTCGCCCTGTAGAAATCAAACACAATCAATATATTATAATATTAATATCGATGATAATCATTAATCAGTAAATTTAAATAATCCCGAACAGGAGAATGTAAAGTGCAAATCACAAATATAATAACTATTAAATGTTACCGATATTTTGGTATTTTTTTATTGAATGAAAAGTATAAGCACAATTCTATGAATATGTTTACATTAATATCATAATATATTAAATATATGTATTAAATTAATACTATAATGTATGGTTTGAAAATCTTCGGAGAAATAAACGGAAAAACGTCGATAATAATATATTCTGTGTATCTACAAAATACAGCCAATATGCGTATGTGAACATATTATGTTATAACTCATTTATGTTTTGTATTTTCATTCTTTAAACATCCATTGTGCATAATATAGTCGGTTCTACTACCTATAATATTATTTGCGTAACAGAAATAAACAAATAATTACGTTAAATCGAACATCAAAAAACGAACGTCGGAATACAAATAACGGTTCAATTTGTTCGCTTAAAAACTAAATTCCAATTTATTTATTTTTTATACAATATTGTATAATGCTTAAAACATAATAATACGAGAACAGTAAATATACAGATACATGACGGAAACTGCATGGAGAAGCGACTATATTATAACTCGTGGCCATTTCCGACGAACACTATATAGAATGCTATACCAAGGTAAGTAGTAAGTACACGTATAGGTATAATATTATTTTAATCGTTGCGAACGCGAATGGAAATGATTTTCAGCGAAAACGATCAATCGTCGTCCTACATAACTGATGCATTAAAAAAAAAAAAAAAAACTATAATTAATTCTATTCATACGTAAAACTTGTAATTTAGATAATATTATTATTATAACTGCACGACGACTTTGTGCGTATAAAGCCGTTTTGTTACTATCACTCCGTTTTTGTACGGAAAATCCAATCAATATATTATAATTATTTTCCGGTCACGATAATATTGGGTTTGTATATTATTATGAAAAAAACAAAACAAAACAAACGTAGGCAGAGTAGAGTAACTTGACTGAATTTGCGATACGACCTACAGACATAATATTATTATTATTAAGACGACTATAATAATATAATATCAAAGAGCGCGTTATTGCGACACCCAATTGCTTCGACGAAACAAAGTGTTATAATATTCATATTCATTATTATTTATTACTATTAGAGTGGTATTTACGTAATATAATCAATAAAAATGTATTAAAAACTGCGCTGCTTTACTTATAATATACTTACCTATATAGTAGAAACCAATTATTCATTTTTTATAGTAGTAATATTATAATTTATATTATTTAATGAACTAGATGTAAAAATGCTAAAAAATAATTATTATCATAAAAATATTAACTTCTTAAACATTAGTAATATACATATGATTTAAATACGATTTACATAACATTTATATAGATTATTATAGTTGTAAAAGTTACTACGCGTGTTTGCCTATATTATTCAGCTAAATTAGTTACATTATAGTAAAAAGTACCTGCTATATACAGAAAATAAAATTAGTTTCGTTAAATAAACCACTATTAAACGCATTGATTGATTTATATTATTAGTTGTATCAATTATTATTTTTTTAAACCAATTACAATAAAGTATTTATTTGGTATTGGTAATAAATTATTGATCAAATGATTTGACTCTTTGCGCAAACCTATATTATTATAATGTAAACAAACAAAACGGTTGGACAGTCGACGGTTATAGTCGGATGAAACGATTTTTTTAGTTTTATAATCGAAAATATTTTATTGTATTTCATTTCAATTGAGTATTACATTTCGTTTATGTACAGAGATCAGTTATATTTTAACATTTCATTTTAAATTTAAGTGTTGGTTGAATTAATTTTTTCGCTAATTTCGTTGTTGAAACTCCGTCGGAACGATTTTATTAATCCAGTTCATAATAACTTAGTCACCAACACTGTAATACTTATAATAATATTTTAGTTCATAAAAAAATGATCTCAATGATTAACCGAGAGTTAAATTTTATAAAAAAATATTACGTCATTTATAGTTTATAAATTTCAATAAATATAATGTAGTTTTATATGTTAAACGGATGTATACTAAATTAATTTATTACTAATATATAAAATCAGATAGCGAAAATAATAAGTTTGGTAGGTAAAAGGAAATAACATACTCGATGATTAAATATGCAATCATTGGCCATAATTAATTTAATTTGACTGCTTTATATGTTTATTAATTATAAAATAAATCTTAAATTATAATTTTAATTATAGATTGGCTCCCACACAAACTAATAGTAGGTACATACGTTATATAAATATATTTACAAATATTATTTAATTGAATTTTTATTAATTTTCAACTATTAGCATGATTGTAGCCTTGTAGGTACAATACATGTTCATGAACATTAACCATCAAAGTTTTTTTTGTTACATATGAACCAGAAATATATGTTATTATGTTTCCGGTGTTTCCCAGTGGGTATGCCATGCTTTTAATAATAAATGTAATGTTTTTTTTATCTAGGCAAATAAAATATAAACTTTTGATAAAATTATGAATATCCAGTGATACTGCTGACCACAAAAATCTAAAGCACCTGCTGTGGGCTTACTATATTTTATAAACTATAACGTATACGCCTGATAAAAACAAGTAATAAGAAATATTACTATTTTGGGAAACAATGATGTTCTTCGACAAACACAAAAATGTTCATAACAACTAAAATTTTCATGAAATACTTTTGATTTGTTTTTTATGGCCTTATGGGATAGACAACTTAAAAATCTATAGTCCGATAACATTCTTCTAAGACGCGTCAAATAATTTAAAACAATAAAAACGTGTACACACATCTAAAGCACACAGGAAATGCTTTGCTCTGACGTATGTACGGTGAAAAGGTTATTTGATTCCTATTCTTAAGTAAATATTTTAAAAATAAACATAATTTTAACGAAAAAAAATCAAATTTGTATTTCAATATTTAATTGTGAATATATTCGGCTCACGAGTCGCGGCGTCGTTCTGAGTCAAACCTACTTACATTATTGTTACTGATTAATATAAGTACAATGTGACCATCAAAAACGTGCCATAACTTTTAATTGCCGAAAATTATGCTGTGAGGAAAAATAGATAAAAAAACTATTAGTCTAATGAATAACTGTGTCTATTTTGTATTCATCTATGCGATTTACTTCTGTTTCGAATTCGTATACAAATTATGAGTATTTCACAATTTTTTTTTACACGTAATTACTAATTATTGTGTTCAAAATGTCAAAATTACAATTCTATTGTATATTTTATTAAATAGTTTATATTATTGCAAATGTTGGTTATACATTTAATGCAAATTTTAAAATAATTTTATATTTCGAGGATAATGTTTACTACATAGGTAGTACATAATATACTAAATATTCGTAAAATTTTAATAATAATAACGTATTAACGTCATAGGAATTTATATTGTCGGTATGCATACTTTATATTTTATACGATTTTTCTAAATGTCACGATTAAAATAATATTTATTCATAGAGTCTTGAGTTGTACCTATGTTATAAAATAATATGTATAATATTATATTATTTTTAAAATACGTGCATATGATAAAATCTAAATTCCGGTCATATATTATACATTTGATGCGCCCACGGTTGCGACACTGATAATAATATTATTATTGTACTATATGTGGGTTCACATTACATCGATGCGATTTTTACTTTTTATATCTACAGCGCATAACATAACATCTACCCATATAAATAATATGATATCGTTACATCACGTGTTGCGGGGGCACCGCTGACAGTATTTAGATTTTTTAATATAGTTACGCGAGCTAAATCGTCGTATGCTGGTGAGATGTGAAAAAAATAACGACCACGTCGCTCGGCCCAAAACCACTTGTCAAGTCTTCCATGTTTTTAAAACAGAAACGATTGATTAACGAGTAACTGCAACGCATGACACTACATAGTTGTCTTGTTAGAAAGTGATTCAGTTTTGGTGGTCTGTCCGTTGCACCGATATATATAGCGAATATACACGCAGACTCGGCCGCGGAACCACTGGTTGATTGATGAAGCCCATTATTATATTATTATGCACTATTAGGAGTTAGGTAGGTACCTGCCTACTAAAAAGCTGTAAAAGGTACGTTAATAATTTTTAAGTATTTCGATTTAAAATCTGTTTAAGTCATCATGTAAATAATGTATCATTTTTAGCACAGATTTCTTTTCTTAATTTTTTTCATTATTTTATTCCTTATGAATATATATATATATATATATATATATACCACGTACATATTTATTGATTATTTTTCCACCCTTCCCCTCTCTGAAATAAAACACTGGATACACCCCTGTCGTAATGTCTAAACAAAATAAAAATATATCATCCGATACGACTATATAGTATACATATAATATAATAATGCAGCATGATCCTACCACTCGTTAATACAATTTAATATTATAATAATATGTACAGCGGAACGAATCCGAACAAAGTTTACTTAGGGCTTGCCATGCGCACATTGCAACCAGCGTGCTGTATTAAATTACTCTAAATAGATTTTAATGCCATCGATCACTGTTACGCAATTCGATTTAAATCTCGTTATAGTCGTTTGTAGGCCAATGTGTCTAATTCATTACGTTCGATTACGTTGTATTTTTTGTTCTATGTCGATTTAAAGAATAACAATAAAAAACAGTGGCCACGTGTCAAGATATATATATATATATATACTTCTAAAATCTTTAGGGAATAATGGAGTAATGTAAAACCGCCCGTCGTCGTCAAATGAAAGGAATTTTTTCGAGTGTGAGATATTTTGAAACATAATGCTTATTGTAATTAATAAGTATTAATTTATAATTAATGATCACACTTTTAACATAGAGTTAAGTACAGAGCATTTGGTGGAATTGACTAGTTAAACGTTTA